TGTCTGTCTTTACAGAAGACATGTGCGTTAGTGGCTTGTGATCGGTCAGAAGTACAATGTGTCGGCCCTCGATGAGGTGAAGAAAATGACGTGTAGCTAAATAGGCGGCGAGCAATTCCCGGTCGAAGGTGCTGTAACGGGTTTGAGCGGACGTGAGCTTTCTAGAGAAAAAACCGAGTGGTTTCCAGGTGTCATCGATGAACTGCTCGAGAACTGCGCCTATGGCTGTATTCGATGCGTCTGTGCACAATCGGAGTTCAGCGTCCGTGCTCGGGTGACAAAGGAATAACGTGTCCGCGAGAGCGTTGCGGGACTTGTCGAAAGCGAGTCGCGTTTCTGGTGACCAACACAATTGGCCGTCCTTCTGCTTGACCGACGAAGCGAGCTCGAATAACGGAGACTGCAGTTGTGCCGCGTTTGGTATAAACCTGTGGTAGTAGTTGACGGAACCAAGGAAACGTTGCAGTGCTTTTTTAGAAACCGGAAGTGGCCAGTTTCGTATCTGATCGATTCGCTCGGGTAGCGGGCTACAGCCATCACAGTTGACGAGATGTCCGAGAAAAACTAGCTGTGGTACACCTAGTACGCATTTGCTGACGTTAATTGCGACGCCGAACTTTTGAAAGCGCTCAAGTACAGATCGCAAATGCATTTCGTGCTCGGACTCGGACTGTGACGCGATTAAAACGTCGTCTATGTATGCGAACACGAAATCTAAACCGCGGAGAATGTCATTGACGAAACGCTGGAAGGTTTGAGCGGCGTTTTTCAACCCGAAACACATTACCGGAAATTCATACAGCCCAAAAGGTGTTGTTACGGCAGTTTTAGCATTGTCGTCGAGTGCGACGGGAATCTGATGGTACGCGCGCACCAGATCGAGTTTCGAAAAAATAGTTTTACCGTGAAGATTGCTGGTGAAGTCGTGGATGTGTGGTAAAGGGTACCGGTCCGCCTTGGTGATTGCATTCAACCTTCGGTAGTCACCACAAGGACGAAACGATCCATCTTTCTTGCTGACTAGAAGCAAAGGGCTGGCCAACGCGCTGTCCGATGGACGACAAATGCCTGAGCGAAGCATAAAATCGAACTCCTTCCGAGCTGCACCGAGACGGTCGGGTGCGAGACGACGTGGTCGCGAAAACAAAGGCGGTCCGGTGGTCGAAAGAACATGTTCGACGTTGTGTGCGAAAACGGTTGGTACGGGTGATTCCCGCGTGACTTTAGGAAAATCTGCGATCAAGTTGGTCCATAAACGTGGCTGGGAGACCACGCAAATGGTCGGCGGAACTGTATTCGCGGTAGCGATTTTGGATGCCAAACCCGAGTTCGAATCGACTAACCTGTTACGGCGGACGTCGACTAACAGCCCGTAATAATGTAAAAAATCTGCCCCGGTAATTCCTCGGGTAACATCTGCGATTTCAAAAGTCCACAAAAACGGCCGAGTGAGCCCTAAATCGAGATTGAGCGTTTTTCGTCCGTAGGTTTGAATACGGGTGCCGTTAGCAGCGGTGAGTGTGATGTCCGACGTGGGGTGTTGACCGGCGGACGGCGGGAGGACAGAGATGTCAGCCCCCGAGTCGATAAGAAAACGTCGACCGGAACGCACATCGGAAACGAAAACACGGTGATTGCGTAGTGCGGCGGTGGGCTGGCTCGCCTCCGCCGCGCCTATTAGTTTTCCGGAGACTTGAAAGTGCAAGGTGCTATGCATTTATGAGCGGACGCACCGAAACGATCGTGATAAAAACACATGCCGTTGTTTTTGTTATTGTTCGATCGTGATTTGGAGCGCGATCTCGAGCGGCTGTGATTAGAACTGTTGGCCTGCAGTGTGGCCAAACTAGCGACTTGTGCCGTGAGTGCTGCTATCGCGTTCTCGATTGAGCGGAATCGGTCGGTTGACGGTTCGGACATGTTCACCGCGTGAACATCGTAAGTGGACGTCGCCTCCATGACCCGATCAGCGCGTGCTGCAAGTTCCTCCAAAGACCCATCTTGTCCGGAGACGATCGCGGCGGTTGTAGATAGCAATTTCTGTAGCCAAAATTGCTTGAGGGCGTCCTCGCCGATACTGTCCGGAAGAATGTAGCGCATGTCGCGCAGCAATTGTGATGGCCGTCTATCGCCTAAACCGCCTGGCTGGACGATGCTGCGGAAACGCGTGGTTTGGGGTACCGCGAATGCGGAGATGAGGCGTTGTTTTAGGCTCTCGTAACAAGCTCCGGGCCCGATGAGGTCGCAAACTGCCTTGATGCCTTCCTCGTCTAACGCGGCGATAACGAAATTCGCTTTCGAGGTGTCGGAACGTAAACGGTGGTTCGCGAAAACGGCTTCGGCGTGGAAAAACCATTCACGTCGGGAGTGCCGCCAAAAATTAGGTAGACGCACTTGTGCGAAACTCGCGACGGACACGCTATCGGGCGGCGGGTTCGCGTTCTCGTTAGGCGGCGGTTGATTCTCATTCTCGAGTGTGAGAAGGTCGCGTGAAGGGTTGCCGAAATACATCGTGTGTTTATAAAAATGTAAAAAGTCAAAACAGAAAATACGAGGTCACCAATTTGTGGCTTTGGTTACTGCACTGCAGCGGTTTCCCCCTATCACCAGTGATGATAGGCCACAACAGGGAAAAGGTTACCTTCAAAGAACTTCGAGACGAGAATGAAAATGTTTAGGAAATAAATTTATTACACAACAAAAAAATAATTCAACGAGTTGGTTACATAATACAATAAAACGTTTTGTCGCGTTGACATGTGCATGCGTTGACGCGAGGAAAAAGACTGGTATCAGTCGGTGAACGACCGCTGTTTTTGGTGGGCCACGACGAGCGCGGTAATCGCCTTGATTGGCGTTGTAGGGGTCGCCACACATTTTACCCCATATAACCTCAAAATTGATAGTAATACATGAACGCATGATAAGCTTCAATGGCCTATCCATATCTTTATTATCTATAGGCTTTATGGCGCAAAAAATAAAAACATATGATTTTGGTCCAAGCTGTACCACTGCCCAAGTATGACCATTTGATGGTATCAATTAATATGACGTATGCAAATGTTTGTGTATGTTAGGTTAGGTAAATGTACCATTAAATAGTTAGTTCTGAAAAATATTTTCCTGATTTTAATAGTTCCCGAGTTTTACAATTCCTGTGAAAAATGTATCCTTAAATTAAATTTCCAGATAATAAGTGTTACTGAAATTGTTGATATCTGAAAAATATTTTCCCTATTTTTACTTTCCTGATTTTAATAGTTCCCGAGATTTATATTTCCTGTGAAAAATGTATACTTAAATTAAATTTCCAGATAATAAATGTTACAGAAATTGTTTATATCTGTAAAATATTATTCCTAAGTTTGTTTGTTGCTGTTTTAAACTTCCCTGATTCTGATAGCCCTATACATGAATGTTCTTTTAAATAGTTTGTTCTGGAAAATATTTTCCTTTTTTTATTTTCCTGATTTTAATAGTTCCTGAGTTTTATATTTCATGTGAAAAATGTATCCTTAAATTATATTTCCAGATAATAAGTTTTACTGAAATTGTTAATATCTGAAAAATATCACTCCTAGGATGGTTTGTTACTGTTTTAGACTTCCCTGATTCTGATAGCCCTCCTCATATTTATATTGTTTATTTTTGTATTATTGTATAATCTGTTAAGCCGCCCATACACGATCAATAATATTGATCAATATTTGATATTGACAATAATATTGATCGTGTATGGGCTATATTGAAGGATTGATCAATATATTGAACAAATTAAAATTTTTTGATTTTTATTGACGTACTGTCAATAATATTGTTTGTTGGTGGCACTGTTCAATATTATTGACAATAACCCCGGTGGTATATTATTATCATCGGATATTGATAACAAATTTATTCCAAATAATTCATAGCTTGAAACCGATTGAAATAATTTCGGTTTCGATTTTGAAAATATTCGGTTTCAGTTTCGATTTTGAATATCGGTTATGAAAATATTCGATTTCGGTTTCAATTTTCAATACCGGTATTAAGACATTTCGGTTTCGGTTTCGATTTTGTATACCGGTATTGAGAAATTTCGGTTTCGGTTTCGATTTAAAATTTTTTTTTTATTTAAATTTTGAGTCAATATTCAATCAGTTTTAATTTACTAAAATGTTTATACTGATTTCGGTATTGAAATCAATTTCACACCCTACTTTTTGACTAAAATTTGTTAAACAATAAAAGCTTCTTGACTAAATACTATAGTCATTAGTCATTACTAATAAGTAATAATAATATTAAGTATGTACTTAATAATGACAACTATAATGAGTAATATAGTAAAGTTAGGTACTTAGGTTACTATGCCATCTATGGACTAGGGTATCTAAATTCTAAATATTAATACAGAATATTATCTTAATTCTTAATCTTTAATTATTAATGGTTGCATCAATACAGCCAAATAATAGTTTTTTATTAAATTCAGTCTTAAAATGTTTAGGAAATATGTAAGTTTTAACAAATTATTATAATTATACACTATTGTCTATTATTATATAATTATATCAGTATCTACCTATTAAGTTTTTCTTATGAGTTTTTAGTGAAAATTTAAATAATAATAATTGATTAAAATGTTACTTAAAACAATTCAAAAAGATATGAATGTATTCATATTAGATTTTAAACTTATAATTTTAACAGTTAATTTTTTGAAATTGATTTCTTATTAATGAATAGCAGATACATAACATATGTCATACTAAATAGTCTAAATTAGCCTTTGACAAATTTGTTTTACCATCTAGAAGTTATATATATATATATATAGTCATATATATACAATTCCAAGAAATTCCAATATCAGAGTAATTTTGGCAACTTGTACAACATTTTATATTAGTTACTATTGGATAAAATTGTGTAGGGCCACACAAAATAATTGTTTTCTTTATAAGTTTATTAAAATAAAACCTTAAACATAAATAACAATACAATTTAATCATTTAATGACATAATTTAAATTTTTCATTGCTTCTAACCAGCATGATTGCTTCTAAAAGTTCTGGATCCAATGAGGTTCTCAAATCAGAAACAACAAATTTCAATCCAGAAAAGCTCCTTTCTACACTGACCTGAAAATGTAATAGTACAACTTGTAGAAGTTCAAATATAATCACAAAATAAATATTATCATAAGGTAAAACATAAATAATCATGTAAACCTGAGTCGCTGGAACTGCTAAGACTACACTTGCTAATTGATAAAGTTCTGGATCTGTTAATTGTCGTGTTTTCCAATATTGCAAAATATCGGCAGTATAAGAAATGCGCTCAACATTTTTAAAACCATTCAATATATTTAATATACTTTCAGAAGTTACTGTTAAGGACGAGGCAAATGAATTTGATGTAAGAGAAGCTTGTGATGATAAAAACTCTTCAAATGGATCCGTTGAGTCTTGGCTACTTTCAATAGTACTCTCAATGGTTGATTTATCATTAGCTGAATATAAAGTTTAATACAGGATTAACTCAACTACTTTACTTAACAAATAACTGTATTATATAAAATTGTACAGATTATTCTAGAAATCAGCATATTTTTTTTAAAGTAAAAATTTATTTATTCCTATTTAAATGTCCAATAAAATAAAATATCAACATGATTTATTCAGAATTTCCATTATTTTATATTTAGTTTATATGAGAATAATATTCATATCACCTGCAGTGATGTATTTAAAACAAAATTGTTAATAATTTATCCAGGAAGTTATTTAATGTATTAGTCCGTTAGAATTCTTAAATATTTAAAACATTTAACAACTAAACAATTTTAACATTTTTATTGAGTAAATAATTAATATGCATTCATTTTTTACCGGTAATTTCTGGAAATTCGTCAATAGGAGAGTCTCTATTCTTTAAGAGAAGTAATGTCTCCCATGTTTCGACAAGACGAGTTATAGCTATTTGTTGTTGTTCAGGAGTTAATAAACACTGGTATCGAGGATCAACAAAAATCGCTAAAACAATATATGAATCTATTGTTATTATGTATGTTTAATTATTAATTATAATTTGATGTATTAGGTACCTGCTAAAAATGTGCTGTTTGATAAATAATTTTCCTGAATTCTTTTATCCATCAAAGATTTTATTTTTTTGGCTAATATGGATCCATTTGCGTTCAACCCATGAGTGGATTTTAACCAGATGGCATAAAAATCACCAATTGTTAAATTTGGTTTTTACAATGCAAGTGTTGCAGTTTTCACTGGATAAGCATTTACCTGAATAACATTTTTAAAAATTAACAAGTGCAAGTAATTACAGAATACATTTATAAACCAAAAAAAAAAAATATATATATATATATTATAAACAGATTAATTTGGCACCCAAAATAAGTATATTTATGATTAAAAGAAGATAATTAATATTTTAGAAATTAATATAATTAAATAATTAACTAAAAATACTTTGTATAGAGTCCCATTCACAATTTTTAACATGTAGGTCTGGGTTAGTCTCCTCAAGTGACAAACAGAATTCTTTGAGTTCTAATAACATATAGAGCATGTTATACATTGAGTTCCATCTGGTCTCAATATCGATAATTGCATATTTTAAATTTTTCCTTTTCAGCCAACATGCATACTTGGGAGTTCTTAGTTTCTTTACAATCTATAAAATAAAATGTTTATGTATTAAATAACTAAGAAAATGGAAGATAAGAAATAGATATTTTAAAATTACCTATCTAGCTTTGGGAATGCAATTAGATATGGCTGCTGATTTTATACCACCAAGTACACACAATTGTAATGAGTGTACAGAGCATCTAATATAGGATGTTATAGATTTAGGTTCCATAGCAGCAACAATAATTTCTTGTAAGTTATCTAGATATAAATCAAATTACAATATATTATTATTTGAATCACGAACAGAAAAAAACAAATAAAAAATACTATTAAGTTTTAAAAACCAACCATGATCATCAACTTCTTCATTGAAAAGTTGATTTACTATATCATTTGATTATAGTAATGTTCCGTCTTCAATGGCATATTCATCATCACTCTCATTTTCTTCTGAATCCACAAAATTAATCAAATCCTCTTCAATATGTGGTGCCTCAGCTTCACATTCATCATTCATATTTACAATTTTACTTAACTTAACCATGTTTGAAGCGTTATCACATCTAATTGTAAAAATTTGTTCTTTTCTCATGTTGTAAATAGCCAATACATCAAAAAGCTAATATAGGAAATACAATATATTTAGTACACAATATGATAAAATGCTATGTTAATATAAATTAAGTATACCATTTTGTTTAAGTTTTGAGCAGTGTGCTATTCGTTAATTTCCCTCATTGCTAGGGTAGCCAAACAAACATTCATGTTTTTTATGAACTGAATATTAACTCCCATTATGGACCGGTTATGACGTTTTACACAATCAATTTTCAAGCTCACTAAACTATTTTTGATATTTTCTGTTATTTCATTAATAATAGTTTTTGAAGCACAAAAAATATGTTTTTTTATATTCTGGGAGTTAATAGTAAAACCTAAGATTTCAATCAAAATACATGAAATAATTAATTTAGGTACATATTTTAATAAATCATTTGGTGGTATACCTTCACCAATTGCTTGTGTCAGAGGATTCAATATTTTTTTAAAACCCGAATCCTAGAATATGGTTAAAGGACGGCCATTCACGGTTACCATTTCTGTACATGCTTGCAGCAATGTAACTTTATCCAATTGTACATAATGACTTTTTTTAAGGACTGTAATCATGCCATCTAAGGGACCTCGTTTCTATAAAATATTAAAATGAAATGTATTTTAAAAATTAGAGCTAGTTAAAGAGGATTAACAAGACTTTGTTCAACTAAATCAACACAATCAGATATACCTACTGAGTCTTGTTAAGTATTCAACAAGTATTTTTTAATAGTATTTTTACAAGACTGTACCTACTATATGCATACAATTGTAAAAATATTTTGTTAAGTATTATTATTTAATAGGTATTTATTACCTTCGATGAAAGTTGAACAGTTGAATCATCTGATGGACGCTTTATATTTTGAACTTTATTATTTTTATTATTTTTGGTATCTTCCTTAGCTTGGTCCAATATTTTTGCTTTATGGGAATGGAAACTCCGAATGTGGGTTTCCAAATTATGACTATGACGTCCTTTCATGCGTGGTTTACGACACCCTTGAACGGTGCAAGTCGATTCATCTTTTTGGTGGTTGTAATCAAAAAACAACTTACTAACGGGATTGGTTGTCTTTCTGCCCATTTTATTAAAATTTAAAGTTATAGTTTATAACACGTATAAGAGTAATGAATAAAAACTCGAGCACTGCACAAAACAATATTAATAATATTATTTAACAATTATTAACAATGAGTAACAACAATAGGTCCACGCCGTCCGTGATGGCGTGATATAACGATTCAGTACTGCACGCAGCACTGCGGTGGTAATAATGATATTATATAATATTATTATTATTAAATTTGTTGAATTTATTCTAAATTTATTTTTGGATTTTAGATTATAGATAGGTAATATGTTTTGTTTATAACTTTATGGCTTGTGCAATGTCAAGATAACTTGTCTGATCGATAGCTTACGTTTATTTTCATACTATTTAGTATTTTGAAACTACTAAAGTCTAAAAGAAATGAATACCAACATAGCAGCTGCCGAGCTGGCTTAATTATTAATAATATTATACTCTAAGATATTATGACTTTTTATATGTATAACTATAATATAGTCTTATATTATAAGATACTGTAATGATTTTACTAGTTTTACTAGTTATTATTAGATCATGTAGGTATAACCATGTTTAAATAACATTGTCTGTTTGCGTTATCGCCGTGCGTCGGGCCGACCATGACGGCAACTTTACTAATTATTAATTACTTATAATTTTTCATTTATTACATTATATTTATAGTTTTCATGTATCGTTATCGGCGTGCCTCTATCATGACGACGAATAACTAGTAATATATTATTAATATTCAGTCCATTTTTAATCACCCGCCTAGTTCGACGAGTACGGCGAATTGTTATAAATATATTTTACGATTTTAAAATATTTGATTCTGTTTTTTTTTTTTTTGAATATTTTAAGATTTCGTCATTTCGATATTAATAACCGGTATTAATTTTTTTCGATTTTGTTTTCAATTTTGAATACCGGTATTGTATTTTTGAGGTTTCAATTTCGATATTAATAACCGGTATTGATTTTTTTCGATTTTGTTTTCAATTTTGAATACCGGTATTGTATTTTTAAGGTTCCGATTTCGATTTTGATTTCGATATCGGTCTTTTAACGGTTTTAACCGGTATTCAAAACCGATTTCAAAACCGATTTCAAGCCCTGAAATAATTACATTGACTTTTGTGATAACTAAAAAGTTATAAAATATTATGAAAATTTAAATAACGGTTAACTTCAAAAATGAATTCAACAATTAAAAAAGAAGAACAAAACTTCATTTTGGAGTGTATTCAAATATATAGAGAATTACCTGAGCTGTGGAAGATTAAATCTGAAGAATATATGAACAGACATAAAAAAGGGAATCATATGATATTTTATTAAAAAAGTATCAAACCAAATATGAGAGTGCTACATTAGAAGATGTAAAGAAAATGTTCAATGCGTTACGAACTAATTACAGAAAAAAATTGAAAAAAATGATTGACTCTCGTAAATCTGGAGTTGGTTCAGACGATATTTACCAATCTAACTTATGGTATTTCGACGAGATGAATTTTCTTCAAGATCAAGAAACTCCTACATCTAGAAGTACTTTAGATGCTAGGCCATCTAGGTATGAGAGTACTGACAGTTGTAATAATAATAGTGACAATACAATATTTGATAAAACATTGGTAAATATATATTTTTAATAAATACCTACCTACAATAAATTATTAATTAATGAATAACAAATTTTTGATTGTTCTGTATGCTTAAAATATTAACAACTCACTAAATGTTATCATTGACATAATATTTAACTAATTTAGGTCATAACAAATAGGTACCTTTAAAATGTAGGAAAAATTAATTATTAATAAAAAAAATCAAATTTAAACAAATTTATTTTGCCATGGGACAGCTCCTTCCCCAACTAGCACCAAAATGTTCATAGTTTATGAAATGAATATTCATCTTGTTCAAACAGAATATTCATATCTTATTTTTGAATGGTCTATCTTTCTTCTATCAGTCTGATAATATAAACCAAAAATGGTCAAATGCGCCACTTTTAATCATTCTATGAATATGCTATCAATCTGCAATATGCTATCAATAGTTTATATCTATTATTCATTGTGTATTAATAATTAATAATAGAATATTCAAAGTATATTCAAACGAGAATTACCATAGAATAATATAATAATAATATGAAGAGACTCACCAAATCAATGTACTATAAATATTCATTTCTTATTAAAAATAAATAGATAGTTCATTCAAAATTGACCAATCATGGAATAATATAATGTTGATATGGAAATATCAATAAAATGTATGAACTATGAATATTCATTTCATATTATGTCTGAATTGAAATATATAATATACCTAATACATTTTTTATTATGTTATCTATTATTTTTATATGATTTATGATCAGCTCACATAAGTTTTTTAGGAGCTCTAACCATTGTTTTTTTATATAATGCACCTATTCACAACATTCATCCAGGTTTTCAACTTCATCTAGCTACAACTTTTCTTACATACCAAATCTTTGTCTTGCACAAGTAACCTAAATATCTTAATTTCTAAACTTAAATTATATTTTAAGTTCCAAGTATATCTAAGGTACTTCATTACATCAATTTCATCTTACCACACTCCCAATAGTATAAACTTATGAAACTCTGTCTGTACTTATAGGTATTGAATATTACTTTAATAATTAAAAGTATCAACAACTTGATTTAGATTTTAAAAATACAATTTATTTATTATATAAATCTTAATTGGTAGTTAAAAAAAAAAAAATTATAATGTTAACATTTAGTGGCCGACCTGGCTGAACACTTGAAAAAAAAAAATTGTTGCCAAAAATCAGTTAGGTAGTAAATCATTTGTTGTGGTCATCTTAAGTCTTTCGCTCGCTTTTGAAAGACATATACTTGCGGCAACTTCAATGTCCTTGATCGAAGTTTGATTAAATTTAGAAGAAGACTGTATTGCTTCTAAAATAAATTAATTCATAAAATTATAAATAATTTCTAAATAATACTAACAGGTATCATGCATATTAACAATCCCAGTTATCCATTTAAGAGATGAGTGAATCATTCAACATTAATACTTTGTCTTATGCACATATATATAATAATATTATAAATCCTCTCCATATTTCACTCATTACGATTACATTATTGAAATTTAGGTATTAATTTAACCATTATAAAATTTAAAAAAATAATATCATCTCTGTTTAGCTATAGGTATTTTATTTTTTTAAGAAATATATTAGTGTTTAATTTTTTTAGTTAGTTTATAGTTAACCCTCATTATTATAATTTTCTTAAAAATAAAATATTACAAAAAGATAATGTTTATTCTCTATCATTGTAATATAAAAAATATTATAATAACTTAATTCAATAATATTGAAAGTCGTTTTAGTTTTCAAGCCTACTATACAGTTAATACAAATTATAATTTATTCTTACTTGTAAGCAAAGAAGACAAAATTGTTTTTTTGAAAGGTATTTTGTTTCCTTTGTGCCCTGTGTAGCTATATGATTTGGCATACCTACTCATCAGTAATGATTTTTTCAATATACGCCTTACTGCTTGTTTATAGTTATCGCCACCAATTTTTGATAACATATTTACCTAAAAAATACATATTTAATTTATAGAATCAATGAAACAATATAATATCTACAATTAGGTATAATTATATATACAACAGTCCACAAAAATAAATAACTATACAATATGTTTATTTACTAATTATTGCAATTACTTACAGTTTGATCATACCTATATAGTGTTGTCGTCTGTTAAAGCTTCTTTAAAAATATTTAATTCATCGTTAGTTGATATTGGGAGAATTTCATATTTTTTTTCAAATTGTTGATTAGATGATGGTGGTGGAACCATCAGAGTTTTTTGATTATCTTGGATGTTACTGACTATCAACATTATGGTGTGCAAGTACTCTCCTTGTTCCCTTTGCCTAGCGTTTAATGTTACTAGATGTCTGATTATTTGTTTTTGAACTTCTATATAAATTAAACCAATAATGTAATAAAATTAAAAATAAATAATAATATTATCAAATTTGAAATACATATTGCTTGTTTAATTATAAACACATATCATAGTAAAATAAACCAATTTGGTTTTTTTTTGTTTTATAAATTTTATAGTAAATTGTTTAATGTAATTTAGAATTTAAAAACTTATTTTATTCAATTGATTTTTGTAAATAAGAGCTCTTATCCTCGAGTATGAAAAATATTAACTTTATGTAAATATTAAATAAAAGTATCACTGTTAAGTGGATATCTCACACGAACATGTTGTCTCCGTCTTACACATGTACGACATAGCAAATTTTTGTTCAGTTTTCAATAGTGTGCTGTTAGTTTTGATATTAGAGTAAAAACTATTATCAAACTTTTAGGTAAGAACTACATTATCTCTGTTTTCTAGTTGGTTTTTTAGGAACTTTAATTTTTAAGTGAGTATGTAAAATATTAATATTTGAAAATTATCATAATTCACTTAAAAATCAAAAAATATCATAAAAAACCAACGAGAACACAGATCATTTCCTTACCTTAAAGTTTGATAATAGGTCAATCCACTCTAATATCAAAACTAACAGCACACTATTGAAACTGGTGAACGAAAATTTGCTGTATGTTGTGTGTGTGTAAGACAGAGAGAACACATAGCGGGGACGACGTCCCCTTAAGATATACTTATAATGAACCACAATTACAATTTAAATAAAGCTTACCATTTGGATTTTCAGCAGCATCAGTGGAGTTTTCCATGTTTAAACCTATAAAAACGGTACATTTGTAAAATTATATTACAGAACTGCAATAATTAAAACAAATTTATATTATAAATGTACAAATTGTAGTTATTTGAATTTACTAAATCACCTTTATCTTCAGTATTGGTGTTACTATTACTCATCATTGCAACATCAATTAATGAATTATCACCGATGAAAAAATCATCATTTACAAAATCATCAATAGTAATATTATGATTTGTATTATTACCTGTAAAAACAAATAGTTATGATTATGTAGTGTTTATTAGATATTTAGTGAAAATAAAACAAAATATTTACCAATTTGATCTGATGGAGATCTGATCTCAAAATCTGATGTATGACATGGTTTATCCTGTACAGCATTCTCTATCACAGTTAATTCATTTTCACTTGAATGAGTTAAACTATTTTGAACAAGAAGCACTTTCAAGCCGCAGGAATCAATTTCTGAAATTTGGTATACATTAATTATAGGTATATTACATTTTTATACATAATTTAATTATTTATTAATATAATGAAACTCTTAATGATATTTTTTTTTTATTATTTGGTTTTTTAAATAGTTAACTTACTAGAAAATTTAGGGAATTTCGGGAGATCTGAGTCACTGTCACTGCTATTACTATCATTGGTCGATGATGAATCATTTTCACTTTCTTTTATCATTTTTTGTTTTACATTTATTTTTTTGCGTTTTTTTGTGATTATTTTTGGTGTACATACTTCTGTTTCAGTTGACGATTGTGTAAGAAAATTATTTGCCATTTTTGATGCTTCACTAAAGTTTGTTATAAGTTTTTTACATAACACTTTAATTTTACAATTTGTCCAGGTATTCTTCTTAGGAGGTTTAATGCTATTTTTAATTGCCCAAGTTATTTTTTTTGTTGATATATTGGGCCATAAACACACATTAAAGTTTATCATCCAACTGTTTGGTATAGGTTCAATTGTGTTTTCGTCAATAAACTTTACAACATACCAACCATCAACTGCCATGATTATCTATAACTAATTTTTATATTATGTGTATTAAGTTATTATGTACATAATTGTTTTCTTAAAAATACACACACACACACACACACACACACACACACACACACACACACACACACACACACACACACACACACAGAACATATTATACTCATTTTTACATTCAGTGCTCATAAGTATGCAGTAAAGGAAATACTACAAAACTCGTGTTATATGGTAAACGAACCAATTTATAAAGAATATCTGATATTGGCCAAAATGAATAATTTTCTTGAAGTTGAGTAACTAATAAAATACCAATTAAAGATGACTGAGAAGGGCTAGTATAAAAATCTGCAGTTTAATTGTATTTTTTACCAATCACTATTGGCTGATTTAATACTTTGCTATGTGCAAAATTTGAAATTTCAATAATAGTGCCACATTTTAGTCTACAACATGAATTTTGAACTTTTGAACTAAGTTTAAAATTACAAAATACTACCTCTTTATATTGAGGATAGTAGTATATATTTGTATGTTCACAGTCCGTTTTTTGTATCACCACGGTAATTTCACAACGTTCAAGTGAGGATGCCCCCCTTGGACACAATAATTTTACCGTGTAAAAATTATGAAGAATTTACACACTTTTTACACGGTAATTTCACACCGTTCAAGGGAAGATGTTCCCCTTGCACACAATAATTTTACCGTGTAAAAATTATGAAGAGTTTGCACACTCAAAGTCAGTTTTAACCAAATATTTACAGTGTACACGCTAAATGGTTTTTTTTTCTCAACAAACCTTATTACTAAAATGAAATAATTATTTAAAATACAGAACACAAGTTGTGAAATAATAGATTTTTTATTATTGTAAATTAATTCTAAAATATATTTACACAAGTTTTCTTACTTCTCTAGTAAAAGGTACATATTCTACAATACGATCATGAATTAAGAAACAGTAAGCAGTCACACCTGTGAGCGATTCTGAAGCTTCGATTTCCAATTGAATATCCACTGCTGAGGCTGTGGCTGAATCGTTCTGTTTCGAAGTGTCGATAACTATAATTGGTGCGTTTGCTACAAAAGTAGAAGGACTCAATATCGGGTTACGAATACTTTTTTCATAGTACGATTCTTGAAACGATGTATACATATTATACAATAAGGTGAAATTATTTTTCGAAAAATCTAAATTCAAATTATCGTATGGATAAGCTATCGAGTTCAGAAATACTTTAACGTTTGTTAGATTACAATGATCGAATATACTACAATCTTTTGATAGCACATTTTTACGTCCTTTCTGTAATCCAATTATGATGAATCGTGGTTTTTCTAATTTTGAAGCAGTTTTCAAATTCCACACAACTTTTTTAGTGGTTCCGAGTTCAGGATATTCAAAAGTTTCAAAAGATCTAAAAGGAATAAACAAACTTTTTTCTTTTTCTATAAGTTTCAATAATTTCAACCTTTCTTCATCATCAACCGTTATATGTGGGACCTTCCAGACTATTTTATTTAAGGTAACTTTACCTTCAGTAGCAGTTGCACCACTTTGAACTTGTAAAGCATTTAAATCACTATGACTTCGGGTTAATATTAATTCCAATCTCGAATTCACTAATATTCTTTTATAGTCTTCAAACAATCCTAACCAATATTTCAATGGAATACAAGCACTAAATTCACCTTTATCATTTTCCGATTGCGTTGCGTTTTTAAAATTCCAACCAGCATTTTCATAACAATTGTAGTTATCTGGCGTACCGGATAAGTAACCTTTCAACGAGCTAGTGATTCCAAGAACACGTGTGCTATCTACTTCTATCCCATTGATTTCCAATCGTATTTGTTCGAAGAGGTAAGAGTAACCGTTATTAGATAGTTTCACTTTGGTAGCATCAGTAATTGTTCCTCCTAAAAAAATAAAGCTTTCGTGTAGATATGGATAAACATCCGTTTGCTGGATTGATATACGTATTTCATCATTATTATTAAATGATGTTGTATACGGTGCGTATGAATGATATTCAATTTTTGTAATTTTAGAATCCGTCTCGTACTGTGAAGTTATATCTAAAATATCACTTTCAGGCATTCTGCTTTAATTGATAACCCAGAGCTCGCAAAATTTTTTTATTCTTCACCGTCAATTTTTTTATTTTATTTGATGTTACTGCTAGAACTTTAGTCTTATGACTAGTTGTACTGATCTGAAGTAGTGGGTTTATATTGAATTTTAATCCCATCTCAAGAGCCGTAACGTTTAATATGTAACACGATTGTCAATGCTTCACCAAAATTATCAATTGGATTATGATCTTGATCAACTAACTGAACGGTTATCGAATCAATATTTGTTTTATTCAATTTGTAATATATTAAATTTGGTGGTGCCTGAATTACTTTCGACCCTGTCTTTCCACTCGGAAAAAACTCATAAATTGAATGACTCTGAAGATGGTTGCTGAATGATCCTTGAGCTATATTACACATTACTTTTATAGAATTAATTGTGTTTAAATTTACAGCTTTTTCCGATCGAAGAATGTTGTATGGATTATATACTCGTTTTTCAAAACCGAATACAGGTGCTATACTATATGGATATTCAAAGTGTAGTATTCCATTACATTTTATATACGATCTGAAATCATCAGGATCAACCGTAATGTCGAATGTTAAATTGGTTAAGTTTTTACTATTATAAGCAACTATTTGCTTCTTAACTCTATCCTTAATATCTTCAATTTCATAACAACCCTCTTCTAATGTAATAAAACATATCATAGGATCATTATTGTTTTCATTATCAACT